AAAAAAAAGTAAACCCCCCCCATAAACCCATTTTCCCCCCCCCCCCCCCCCCCCCCCCAAAAAAAAAAAGTGAATCAGCCCCATGAACTCATATTTCCAAATCTGGAGGCCATTTCGAGTATAGTTCTTGGTTTTGATCTTATTGATCAGAATGGCAGTGATGGAATGGACGTGCGACTTAATTGGTTAATAAGATGAGTTGGGAACCAATGCGTTTGTAATAGGTTTGTTGTTCTGCTGCACTGCAAGGAAGCTTTCTGGTATATTCTGGCATATTCTCTTTATACTCTGGTATATTCTCTATATACTATGGTATATTCTCTATATACTCTGGTATATTCTCTATATACTATGGTATATTCTCTATATACTCTGGCATATTCTCTTTATACGCTGGCATATTCTATTTATACTCTGGCATATATTCTATATATGCTCTGGCATATTCTCTTTATACTCTGGTATATTCTCTATATACTCTGGTATCTTCTCTTTATACGCTGGCATATTCTATTTATACTTTGGCATATTCTCTATATACTCTGGTATCTTCTCTTTATACGCTGGCATATTCTATTTATACTTTGGCATATTCTGTTTATACTCTGGCATATTCTCTTTATACTCTGGCATATTATATTTATACTTTGGCATATTCTCTTTATACTCTGGCATATATTCTATATATATTCTGGCATATTCTCTTTAAGAAGCCGAAACAAACCTTAGAGGTTGTCATAAGCAATTCTCATCATGAAACCGAACAAAGTCATTTGTAAGGGTTTTCTCCATTATAAAACGTTGCAAAATGTATGAACATAAATATTATGTATTGAAATAAAAAGATCTCCAATGAAGTCAATGATTATAACTTGGGCCAGTTGTAGTTCCGGAGTTCTTTGAAAGATGTACCAACTGTCCAATTCATGAACACTACTCTCCGGAGTTCTTTGAAAGATGTACCAACTGTCCAATTCATGAACACTACTCTCCGGAGTTCTTTGAAAGATGTACCAACTGTCCAATTCATGAACACTACTCTCCGGAGTTCTTTGAAAGATGTACCAACTGTCCAATTCATGAACACTACTCTCCGGAGTTCTTTGAAAGATGTACCAACTGTCCAATTAATGAACACTACTCTCCGGACAAGGAAATGAGTTGAACAAAGGTTAACGAGCGAGACATTGAGTCCAATAAGTTTGGTTTTTTCGAACCCATCAAGTAAAGCATTGAGGAAACGGTCGAATCTATTGACTTATGGTCATATGGTATATTCAGTTTTCACCCTCCGCCAAGAATATTGGTTATATTTTAACAACATGTCTCTCGATAATCATATCTCTCACATTTGTCGCACTGCATACACCGCTATCCGTCAGATCAGCTCGATCCGCTAATACCTCACAGTTGGTGTAACAAAAAACCCTAGTCTGTGCTCTAGTTCTCTCTCGTCTTGACTATTGCAACTTTCTTCTATCAGGTTCACAAAAAACTTCTTAGAAAAATTACAAAAGGTTCAAATCTCAGCTGCTAGGCTAGTTCTAAAGGCAAACAAACGTGATCACGTCACTCCACTACTCCATTCCCTTCATTGGCTCCCTATACAGGCACGCATTGACTACAAGTTGTCTGTTCTCTGTCACAACTTTTTCTCGAATTCCTGCCCTTCCTATCTTACCGAACTTCTTTCTGTCTATTCACCCCTTCGACAGCTTCACTCCTCCGCTGACGCGCGTATTCTTTCTGTCCCCAAGACTCGCACAAAAACATACGGTGAGCGATCGTTCTCTTTCTGTGCCCCCAAACAATGGAATTCTCTTCCATTACACATCTGCAATATGCCGACCATCACAGCCTTCAAAACTGATCTCAAAACACATCAATTTAATCTCAACTGTCCTGACTGATTGCCACCTCTGACCGTAAAACGATGGCACTGAGTGTGGTCCACGGCTTGACATGTCAATAGTTTTATATATGCATTTGTTTTGTTTGATTTTTATTAATGTATGTTAGTTATTTTTTAAAGTTTTTGATTATGTTTGTTAAATTGTGTGTACAGCGTGGTGAGCCTAGCCCTAGGCTGAGGTACCACGCTATATAAAACCACTTATAATAATAATAATAATAATAATAATAGTAATAATAGGCTCTAATGATCCCAATTCATCTGGTTTATAAAACATGGTCAACATTGGGGTTAGGTTATTGTCAAGCTGCGCAATGCCTAATCTCACTACAGTGGAGTGACTAAGCTCACTACAATGGAGTGACTAATCTCACTACAATGGAGTGACTAATCTCACTACGGTGGCATCATGCTGTGAACATTATGTTTTCAATGCGCGTATGTTTTCATTAGGTTATTACTCAGACATTGTTATGTTTTCAATGGGCGTATGTTGTCATTAGGTTATTACTCAGACATTGTTATGTTTTCAATGCGCGTATGTTGTCATTAGGTTATTACTCAGACATTGTTATGTTTTCAATGCGCGTATGTTGTCATTAGGTTATTACTCAGACATTGTTAAGTTTTCAATGCGCGTATGTTGTCATTAGGTTATTACTCAGACATTGTTATGTTTTCAATGCGCATATGTTGTCATTAGGTTATTACTCAGACATTGTTATGTTTTCAATGTGCGTATGTTGTCATTAGGTTATTACTCAGACATTGTTATGTTTTCAATGCGCGTATGTTGTCATTAGGTTATTACTCAGACATTGTTAGGTTTTCAATGGGCGTATGTTGTCATTAGGTTATTACTCAGACATTGTTATGTTTTCAATGCGCGTATGTTGTCATTAGGTTATTACTCAGACATTGTTATGTTTTCAATGCGCGTATGTTGTCATTAGTTTTCAATGGGCGTATGTTGTCATTAGGTTATTACTCAGACATTGTTATGTTTTCAATGCGCGTATGTTGTCATTAGGTTATTACTCAGACATTGTTATGTTTTCAATGCGCGTATGTTGTCATTAGGTTATTCCTCAGACATTGTTATGTTTTCAATGCGCGTATGTTGTCATTAGGTTATTACTCAGACATTGTTATGTTTTCAATGCGCGTATGTTGTCATTAGGTTATTACTCAGACATTGTTATGTTTTCAATGCGCGTATGTTGTCATTAGGTTATTCCTCAGACATTGTTATGTTTTCAATGCGCGTATGTTGTCATTAGGTTATTACTCAGACATTGTTATGTTTTCAATGCGCGTATGTTGTCATTAGGTTATTACTCAGACATTGTTATGTTGTCAATGCGCGTATGTTGTCATTAGGTTATTACTCAGACGTTGTTATGTTGTCAATGCGCGTATGTTGTCATTAGGTTATTACTCAGACATTGTTATGTTTTCAATGCGCGTATGTTGTCATTAGGTTATTACTCAGACATTGTTATGTTGTCATTAGGTCATTAGGTGCTTTATTCAGACATTGTTATGTTGTCATTAAGGTCTTTATTCAGACATAACCGCGTCATTAGCGTCAACATACGCATTCCCTGTTCTGTTGGGGGGGGGGGGCAAAATCGGCAGAAAGTACAACGCGACACCTCCACGCCCAGCAGCGCATGCCGTCTATGGCAGTAATGGTGGCAGGCCTCCCGATTTTGATCAGGCCGATCAGTTTATGGAGTTCGATCTGTATCAATGGGTCTGGCACCTGGCCAAGACTTGGGCTGTCGTCTGTAAGTGGGGGCGAGCTATGTCAGGCATTTCGCTGCGTGGAGACCCGTGGGTAGCCAGGTACGGCCAGGTATGTGTTGTAGAGTAACAAAGTTATCTTCTATGGTTATGGCCGCTAAAGGCTTGTCCTAATTAGGAATAAATATGTTACGGAAAGATATGAAAACGTTTATATGACCTGACGTAGATGTGGAATTCAATAATTTTACGCTGTCTGGACATAGAGAAATAAACGTAGTCCGTCAATCGTGGTTTTAAACTCATGATGAGGCGCGTTCAAGGGGTGTGTTGTAATAAATAGTTGATAAACACATGATCATGTTTTAAGTCATAATTATAAGTCTACTTACTTGATTTGATTCCCCTATGTCAACAACTAGTGGCATTAAAAAAAAAACAACTCCTGAAATCATTTGAATTGATTTTAAATAAATCAATTGCCAAGGGGAAGTCTTAATTAGACGTGTCTGCTGTCAAATTACCTACATGACTGAGACTTTTGTTCTCAAACTACGATTATGAAGCGCAGACTTAGACTCGTTGACTTAGACGTTATTAATGTTCTTGCGCAGGCCTGCACACCATACGGCCCGCCAGCACCCACTTTGTGGTCCGCGAGGTAACGAAATATTCTTTTTTTTTTTTTAATCATTATCTTTCCCCACTTGTGCTATTTATTTATTTAGGCATTTTTATATAGCTTAAAGCTCTCAGCGCTTTACAATGATTAAAAACATGTAAACTAACTACAATAAAAATGAGACACTAGGATAGTAACTACCATACTATAGAAACAATTAAAATGGCTATAAAACGAGGACACTATTTTCTTTCGGCCCGCACATGTTTTTCATCAAGTTTTTCATATGTACCCACTAGAGAGCTCCGTTCATCCGATAGTGGCAACATATCGATACCGTGTGTTCGCCTTGAGACTTACGGAAAGCGCTCTTTTGCATTTGCCGGCCCAACACTTTGGAACGCCCTTCCAGTCGCTCTCAGAAACAGCCAGACACTGGAGTCCTTTAAAACCGATTTAAAAACACATCTATTTCGCAAACACCTTCTGGGGTGATGCTATCTACCATCTTTTTCAGTTAATGTATATTGGCCTGTGTTGCTTACGGTTGAAACGGGATGAAAGACTTTGACTGGGTATGCTCGTATGTAGTTTTATATTGTTGCGTCTGTTTTTTAAATGTGGTACATTTCAGATCGTTTTTATTTCTCTTTATAATATGGTTGACTTTGTACCACGCTTCGAGGGTTTGGGGATGAAGCGTGTTTTTTAAATAAACTTTATTATTATTATTATTATTAAGTATAACGGCCCGCACATGTTTTTTATCAAGTCTAACAGTTTGAGTTGTGCCGGCCTGCACTTGAGAGCAATAGATAAATAGTTTTGAAATGCTTAGCGCGCGCTCCGCCGCCGAGTCATGGGCTAGCAAATATTTGTACACATCCAACTATTGTAAACATTTGCCACCATCATTTCTCCATCCTGATCCAAGTCATGACTTAGAAAAGAAAATGGTTTATTGGGGGTGGGGGGGCGTGTTCCCGTGTGCTCCGTAGTCCTTTTTTCGAGTCAAATATATTTAGACTAAGGCAGTGCTTCTAAAAGTTGTCATCCTCAGTCCAGAACCTATCCATGAGCCCTCAGTCCGGAACCTGTCCATGAACCCTCAGTCCGGAACCTATGCCTGAGCCCTCAGCCCAGAACCTATCCATGAGCCCTCAGTCCGGAACTTGTGCATGAGCCCTCAGTCCGGAACCTGTCAGTGAGCCCTCACTCCAGAACCTATCCATGAGCCCTCAGTCCAGAAACTATCCATGGGCCTTCAGTCCGGAACCTGTCAGTGAGCCCTCAGTCCAGAACCTATCCATGAGTCCTCAGTCTTGAGCCCTCAGCCCAGAACCTATCCATGAGCCCTCAGTCCGGAACTTGTGCATGAGCCCTCAGTCCGGAACCTGTCAGTGAGCCCTCAGTCCAGAACCTATCCATGAGCCCTCAGTCCAGAAACTATCCATGGGCCTTCAGTCCGGAACCTGTCAGTGAGCCCTCAGTCCAGAACCTATCCACGAGTCCTCAGTCTTGAGCCCTCAGTCCAGAACCTATCCATGAGTCCTCAGTCTTGAGCCCTCAGTCCGGAACCTGTGCGTGAGCCCTCAGTCCAGAACCCCTCAGTCCGGAACCTGTCAGTGAGCCCTCAGTCCAGAACCTATCCATGAGCCCTCAGTCCAGAACCTATCCATGAGCCCTCAGCCCAGAACCTATCCATTAGCCTTTAGCCCGGAACCTGTGCGTGAGCTCTCAGTCCAGAACCCCTCAGTCCGGAACCTGTGTGTGAGCCCTCAACCTCAGTCTTGAGCCCTCAGTCCAGGACCTATCCTTGAGTCCTCAGTCTTGAGCCCTCCGTCCGGGACCTGTGCGTGAGGCCTCAGTCCAGGACCCCTCAGTCCGGAACCTGTCAGTGAGCCCTCAGTCCAGAACCTATCCATGAGCCCTCAGTCCAGAACCTATCCATGAGCCCTCAGCCCAGAACCTATCCATTAGCCTTTAGTCCGGAACCTGTGCGTGAGCTCTCAGTCCAGAACCCCTCAGTCCGGAACCTGTGTGTGAGCCCTCAGTCCAGAACCTATCCATGAGCCCTCAGTCCAGAAAATATCCATGAGCCCTCAGTCCGGAACCTGTCAGTGAGCCCTCAGTCCGGAACCTGTGCGTGAGCTCTCAGTCCAGAACCCGACCGTGAGCCCTCAGTCAGAGTGAAATTTAGGCAAAGTGAAATTTAGGCAAATCGAAAAAGAAAATAAATTAATAAATTGGGGACAAGGTGCCTGCATTTCTGAGTGTCCCACTTGTCAAAGACATTCTACAACAGCGGTGCTCAACCTGTGGGTCGCTACCCCGTTGGGAGTAGAATGACCCTTACACAGGAGTCGCCTAAGATCATCGGAAAACATATTTATGAAGTAGCAAGAATATAATTCTATGGTTGGGGGTCACCATACCATGAGGAACTGTATTAAAGGGTCGCGGCATTAGGAAGGTTGAGAAGCACTGCTCTATAAAGGTATTTGATGGCCCGCAAAGACGCACTGGAATTCGTATTGTTCACGAGTTTATTGATCCAGCTTAATCATAGTTGAAAGGTTGCTTCATTGGATCTTGGTGTTTAGTGGAGCAAGCAGTAATAGGCAGTGTGAAGGTTCTTACAAATGGTAGGCTGTCAGTGGAACGAGCCCCCACAACACAATGGACCACACCATTGACATCAATAGAACTTCAGGAGGCCGTAGGTAAAGAATAACTAAGACCCATTGAATGGGCGGGCCGCACGTAACGGCCAGGGCCCTGACACTATATCCCCCCCCGGTCCCCTCCTCGCCAATGGCACAGCCTGTCATCTAACCCAGGAGTCGGCAAGCTTTTTGTGTGTTGACCCGTGTTTAGAAATAATCCTGTATTATGATTTTTATATCTGCTAAGCGTGTCATAGATCAGGGGTAACAAAGTCCGCCTCTAGTCTATCAGAGATGCCGTGTGTGTGTGCCACTGTTGGCCAACCACTGCCTGGCTCAATCCCAAATTAACGATTTAATATTAAAATAAAAATATTGAGGTATATTCTCCACACGACGCGTACGGAACCTTCTGGTGCTTGATTGGCAGCGTATGCCCAAAAATCATATTTTGAATATATTTTCCTGACACCAGTGGTTTTGAAGCTATATGTTTGTGTGCCTAATATTTTTTTTTTTTAATTTAAGAAATTACCTCCCTTTCCCAACCCCACCTCTTTAAAAAATATTTTCTCGTAGTCCTTATTTCTGAATGTTATTATTTCTTATGAGAACGTCCCCAAAAAAAAAAAAAACAAAAAAAAAAAAAAAAGATTTGAGTCCGTGGTAGGTGCGTCCCTTGGGAGGTGCGTACCCTGGGAGTCACGTCCCCTTGGAGGTGAGTTCCCTGGAAGGTGCGTCCCCAGGGAGGTGCGTCCCTGGATTTGGGAACCGCTGCCATATTGACGCTAGGAAGAGGATCACAAGATAAAGGCGTGGAACAGGAGACTAATATTTCACGCGGGTCTAAGAAGGAATGAGTGTCATAAAATATCAAATCAACGAGAAAATACTGTAGGTATACATTGCTTCTACACCGTGTCTCTCTGCCTGTGGTCCACACCCCTTACCCCTGTGGTCCGCCAGCTTTAGTACCATGTCTTTCGGCGTGTGGTCAACACCCCTTTACCCTGTGGTCAACACCCCTTTACCCTGTGGTCAACACCCCTTTACCCTGTGGTCAACACCCCTTTACCCTGTGGTCAATGTGACGTGACGTACGTTGTCTAGAGGTCTTCTTCCATCCGTAGAAAAACTCACTGCCTTCACAAGACAAAAATCATACACCATATCCACAGCACTCGCCACTGTTCACTCCTTAAAAAACTCATCTCACACACTCTTATTCTCACGTGGTTCCTCCCGACACAGCACACCGGTCATACCTTGACCGAGAAAAATAAAAACTCGTGGGGCACACGGGGAAAATAAACTCACCCACGATTGGTCAAATTAACATTATAGAAGTTGACACAGACAAACTCACCCGATCTGACCGTGACAGTCAACACCCCTTTACCCTGTGGTCCGTCAGCTTTAGAACCGTGTCTCTCGGCGTGTGGTCGACCCCCCTTTACCCTGTGGTCAACACCCCTTTGCTATCTTTGTGTTGTCCCTACAATTTTCCATTTTTATTAAATTGTTCGGGGTCGCAGGCCACTTTGATTCTATAAAATGGTGTCTCAGGTCACTTTGATTCTATAAAATGGTGTCTCAGGTCACTTTGATTTTATAAAATGGTGTCTCAGGTCACTTTGATTCTATAAAATGGTGTCTCAGGCCACTTTGATTCTATAAAATGGTGTCGAAGATCACTTTGATATTATAAAATGTGATCGAGACCCAAAAAGTTTTTGGGACCTTGTGATTAAAATAAAAAAGATAGCATAGGCAACCAAAAACAATTGACTTCTCTGGACGATAGAGTTAGTATTCTGACTTTTGCCACAGGGATTAGATCGAAACACAAAAATCAATGAATATAAAGAAAACGAATACAATAAGATGTTTTGATGCTTTTTGTATATGTTTAGTGATATTCATTATTATTCAGTTTAACTCAAATGAACTCTTAACAAATGACATTGGAATGGCATTAAGTCTGATGGGACCAGGGCACGCATGGCCGCTATTCGGACCCGGGTCCCTTTAGACTTAATGTTATTCGGATGTCATTTGTGGTAGTTTATTTTAGTTGAACTGAAGAAGTAAGTTTACAAACGCATAGTCCATTCAATTATCTTTCATTTGATACCGAATTTTGTCTTACAAACCCAACAATAATATTTTAAATAGTTTTTAATAAACCACAACTCTCACTTTTGATACCCGGGTCCGAATAGCACCAGCCAATTACTGATTCGAAGTTTCTTTTGAATGGAGCTGCATCATCATTTCTCTGTAAATACGAGGCGACTTGAGTATATTTGCATGTATTGAAATTGAATCTTTGCAATTAAGGTACTGGCTATCAGGAGTTTGTTCAAAAGTCATCTACTTTCACCATTGAAACACAGGTGACTTACCAGATAGTTGTACTTGTATTTGCTAACTCATACAGTTTTCCTCTACTTATATTTGCTAACTCATACAGTTTTCCTCTACTTGTATTTGCTAACTCATACAGTTTTCCTCTACTTATATTTGCTAACTCATACAGTTTTCCTCTACTTATATTTGCTAACTCATACAGTTTTCCTCTACTTATATTTGCTAACTCATACAGTTTTCCTCTACTTATATTTGCTAACTCATACAGTTTTCCTCTACTTATATTTGCTAACGTGTACAGTTTACATCTACTTATATTGGCTAACATGCACAGTTAACCCCTTCTTATTGATTTCTGTATCCAAATTCCTGAGGTAACATCTGCAGGTGAGAAATAGGGCGGTGGTTCTTGCGCTATGTGCGTTGTGTACCCCTGGAGGCAGCATTGGTCTCATGGTGTAATCTCAACATCACGTGGCATAAAACCATCCAATCTACACTGGAACAAAATGGAATATCATGACTGACCAGATAAGCTATCAGAATAGATTCTGTTTGAAGGCCTGGAGTAGCCATTAATATAAAACAATTGTTATGATCTATCCAGAGAAACTAGCACAATATCTTGTATTAAGAGGCCGGAACTGGCGCCATTAATAAAAACAAAATGTGTTTTAATATTCCATACATAAATTAACGTCCGCTGTCATGTTAACGAGCTTTTAGCTGTACAGCACATCGGTGGAACACATCAGTGGAAGACATCGGTGGAACACATCGGTGGGACACATCGGTGGAACACATCGGTGAAACACATCGGTGGAACACATCGCTGGGACACATCGGTGGGACACATCGGTGAAACACATCGGTGAAACACATCGGTGAAACACATCGGTGAAACACATCGGTGGGACACATCGGTGGAACACATCGGTGAAACACATCGGTGGAACACATCGGTGGAACACATCGGTGGGACACATCAGTGGAAGACATCGGGGGAACACATTGGTGGGACACATCGGTGGAACACATCGGTGGGACACATCGGTGGAACACATCGGTGAAACACATCGGTGAAACACATCGGTGGAACACATCGGTGAAACACATCGGTGGGGCACATCGGTTTAACACATCGGTGAAACACATCGGTGGGACACTTCGGTGGACTTATGACATTGTTTTCATTGAAATAATTGGGCATTCACCTTGTACAAACAACAACCTGGTATGTACATCACGTAAGAGTATGTGATGTTCAATGCGTCCAATATTTAGAACCGTTGCTCTGTTTTGATGGTGTTAATTGCCTCCCATGTTTAGAACCGTTGCTCTGCTCTGATGGTGTTGCATACCACGTGGCTCACACAGACAACTCTGGTGTATCCAGTCCGGTGGTTAGTGTGAGGACATTTCTGTGTGCGACCAGTTTGTTAAGAGATGTGCGTGGAGAGCTGTGCGTTATTCAAGGGTTTGAGGTCATCGGCCAATATGATATCTTATATCTGTCATGTTTTCCATCAATGAATTCGTCTCAACGGTAGACACATGTGCCATTCGTAATACTTCAATCCAACAAATAATTCTTTTTTTTTAAACTTTCGGCACATCACAAATTGATTAACACGGCACGTGTAAGGACCCTAGGGTGTGTATGGTGTACACAAGTCAGCAACAAAAGAGGTCCTGGAGTTAGGGGAACAAAAAGAGCCGGTGAGTATGAGGATTTGTGGGCCACGTTTTGGAAACGATCTCAAATTTTCTGGGGAGGCGACACCCTTTCACGATGTAACTCTGCAGTTATCCGAAAATGCCGCCCCCTCCATGGAATTAAAAATGGACGCCTGGGCGGGCCACCCCGTGTGTCCCCATTTGCCCTTCTTTCTACGCTCCTGGCAGAGGTGTAGCTAGAGCGTTTTGCGCCAAGGGACCATATTCATTTTAACGCCCCCCCCCCCCTTCAACTCTGAAACCCATTACATATATCCATTAATTACCCTGAAAGCCCATTTTGACTACCCCGCTAGTCCTACGCCGCCCGGGACCATCTATCCCCTCTGNNNNCCCCCCCCCCCCCCCCCGAGGAAATCGAATTTAACAATGGCCACTTTTTTTTATTTATTTGTTAACTGAGTTTGTAACTCAGATGTTCTCAGATTATGTTTACGGGAATATCCGTAATTTGTCACGTCGATTTTCTCCACAAAACAACCCGACCACCAAAACATTGGCACATACTGCAGTTGTGAGAGTTCCGGGAAATGCTCACCATTACACTGTCAGAGCGGAAAGCTCCACAAAAACAACTCCATGAGCTGCTCATGACTGTGACTCTCATGTGCGTGGGATGAGCGGCTCGTGCTACAAATAGATTCACTAAGTGGCTTCAAAGTGGGGACCCAAACGTCATGTGTTTAAAAAAAGCTTGCATTGTCCTTGAATGAACAATTATTTTGAATATAAGTGAGGGAATTGACAAAGTTTTATCTGGTCACTTCGGTAAGTTTGGTTTTTTTTTTGCCAAAAAAATCCATCGTAGCACTTGACCTTTGAACTTCCGTTTTTATTTTCTCCAGGGATTTTGGAATATTTATTTAGCTCAGTTATTGCCGCAAACAACCCCCCCCCCACCCCACCCCATAATCTTAACTAGCTCAAGTAAGAATTTAACACCGAGATTAACCTCACCTTCCCCGCTGTGCCCAGAGCACATAATCCACCACCGAAGCCAGCACAAAGTGGTCCTGGTAGTGGTAGCAGATGTAGCAACAGTTGCCTTCTCTGTGCCCATCACATAGTCCTCCACCTAAGCCAGATCAAAGTAGTTCTGGTAGTGGTAGCAGATGTAGCAACAGTTGCCATCTCTGTGCCCATCATGTAGTCCTCCACTGAAGCCAGGACATAGTAGTCCTGGTAGTGGTAGCAGGTGGGGCAACAGTTGTCTATGCTGTGACAGCCGTGCTAATGTTATTAAGGAAACGATCTGCGAGTCTCACATGATCGCTCTTGGATTTAATCGCCAGTTGGATCTTTGATCTTGGCCTTTAAACGTAGAGACTTATTCAATTGACCCCTCTTACTGATCAAATAGTTTGTTTTTGTTACTATTACTTTTTCAAAACTTTCCCCCTATGTCCCTCCCCTTCTTCTTCTCCAATCCCCTCCTTCTCCTCTCCTCCTCATTTCCTACGTATTCTCCTCTCCTTCTCTTCTCGTCCCCTTCTCCTCCTTTCCTCAACATCTCCTTCTTTTCCATTCCACTTCTCCTCTCCCTCTTTTCCCCTCTCCTTCTCCCCTCATCACCATCTCTAATTCTTCTCCTCTCCTCCTTCTCTTCTCCCCCTTCTCTTCTCCCATCTTCTCCTCTCCTTCTCCCCTCATCCACTATCTGGTTTCCTTCTTCTCTCCTCCTCTCCTTCTACCCTCCCTCTCTACTCAATCTCCTCTCATTCTCCTCCCCCTACCCCCTCTACTCTCCTCCTCTCTTTCTCATATCTTTCTCCTTCCCTTCTTCCCTCTTTCTCCCCCTCTCTCCCCCTTTCTTCTTTTCTCCCGTTTTTCTTTCTAGTAACCAACCTATTAAACATTATTAATGTCCTACTTACACACCGATCAATCTTCCATTTCAACCGAACTTACCTAGACATAATTATACACCATTTTACCTTATGGCTATCAGTGTGAAGTTGTGTGTGAACGTTACTCAGGGCTGTCACGCGTCAGTGCACGTGGCAGTCATACCGTCTAGTGACATCTTCATTTCAAATAAGCGTACTATGTGGCATAGTTTAGGGCGTTGTTGAACTGGTTCTAACGTGATCCCCAAATAATGCAGCACCATGGTTCTCTTTGTAGTGTACGTTTATACATAAGCCACCATACAAGGCAGTAGGGGGTGTATGGGCCATAAGTCTGATCGTCCGTAATAACCTCACCCTGACCACCAACAATTTGACCAAAACTTGACCCGTCTGACCAACCAAAGAACGCAGCTTAAAATAAACCATAGGTCAAACTCGGTTCAAAAAGAGCATCAATTTAAGCCTTGATCGAACAGCAAGAATATTTATACAATTTAAAAAAAAAAAATGATTTCATTCAGTGAAGACGGACACAATGAGTGAGGTTTGTACTTAATTTCATTATAAATGTGTCTAGAAATAAGCGATGCGAGTGTTCGCATTTCATTCAGTTGGATGTAGGAAATGTTGACATAATGGAATTTGTGTACTCGGGGTATTTGTATTAGAAAATCTCAAACTAAAATGGTGCCCCTGTTCTTTGTGATTTAAATAAACATTTTGTGGCTAAGTAAGGTTCAATAATCACATGACATCTCAATTTTCAATGACACAATATTTTTTCGCAGAAAAGTTCCGATGCTAGACTTGGATGATAGAACTAGGTTGGACGTTCCAATGCTAGACTTGGCAGATAGAACTAGGTTGGACAGATGAACTCGATTTCAGGACCGCGCCAAGAAGGGCTGAACCAACATACCTGACGCAGTAGCTGGATCTGAAAGCCTCCTCTGACAACATGGACAGGACACTGAGCCGCAGCGTGCCCCATCTCCCACGCTACCAATCGGCATCGCCGGCCCGATCTCCTCGACTGGACACCAGACGCTTCCTGTCACTGCACGGCATTTCCCAGCCCAGCACGCACATTAGCTACATTGACGGCGCCCCGACCCGTGGCATCAACAGCTACCACGTCCACCACTCCCCGTCACCAAAACGATCCTACAACGTTCACGTGATCTCCTCCAAAGTCAACCACCATCTCGTCAGAACGACCACAAGTCTGTCAGCCGCCGACCTCAACTCCTCGCACCTTTATTCCTCGCTGGATGATCTCATCGTCAGATCTAAACAGGAGAATGAACAGCGCTGCAAGGCCGTGAGCTGCGAGGATATATTCCACAAAAAACCCTTCTTCCCCGACATAACGCCCTCAGAGAGTGGAATTTCGGTTGGTGAGTGGGAAGAAGGGTCCATGTACGGTGGAGAAGAAGATAGCATGTCGCAGCGTTCTTTCGGTAGCTCAAGCGCCTTTTTTGATGGCACCGTGGACAGCGAGCTTGAGAAACTGGACAGCGATAACTGCAGCGGGCATGAGTATTTTCGAGATGGGGAACAAGACGACTCTCGGGGTAACAGAAGGTCTAGGAGTCGAAGGTCAAGTAACGAGGTCCCGATCCCTGATGGTGTGTGGAACAGCCCCTTCTCCTCTTACGGAGAGTCGAGACGGAAAGAACTCATGTCACGCGATTTCGAGAGAGACCCGCAACGTTTCGGAGCTTTGAAAGTCCACATCCCAACCTCAGACCCGCCGACGAGGGCCGGGAAGGACAACCACCAAAGTCCCTACTCAAAAGTGATATCTTCAACCCCGCTAGCCCAGTCCACGCCTCACGTCAGTCCAAGGGGGCCGGGGGAGCACAAACTCTCTGTCAAGGCCAGTTGGATGGCGGATTATCCACTGAAAGAATCAAACAGTGAGCTGGACCCTGGACGGGGGTTGGTGGATATGGACCTGTCAGATAATGATCTGCAAAGTTTGTGTCATTTACATGACTCCAGCTTTTCCGATGACAACTTTTCCGATATATCGAACGTTACGATCACCTCTCCCGAATTGAGGAAGCCGAAGCTGGTTAAAAAGACGTCAAGCAAGCCAAAGACGTCGGACGTCAATGTGTCGTCCATGCCACTCTTCGATGAGTACATGGACAAGGTTGACAACTGTCACAGCGTGTATCAGACGTGTTCAGATGGCATGGGGAGTGATACGAACCTGTCCACTGTTCGAAATGATGTCAACCAGTTGTGCCCGCCAGATGGTAGGTCGATAAGTGGAGACGAGTGGTGGGCGTTGTACAACATCGGGTCGGCGAAGGAAAGGAAAGCCTTGGAGAAATCGCGTGAACGCGCGGGCCTAGAAGATGGCGCCCCTGTTGTGCGGGAGGAAACTGATAGGGTGAGACTCCCTCTGATAACCCCCGGCAAACACGGGCAGGAAAAACTGAGGAGGGCTTCTCAAACATCGCCAAAGTCGGATCGATCGTCCCCTGTTCATTCCTCCACCGTTGCTCTTCCAACTGTTGGCAGTGGTGGTGTGGGAGCTGAACACATTGGTCAAAGTGACCGTGAAGTCAGAACAGAATGGGAATCAATACATGTCATTGCAGAAGGAGAGTTAGCACAAGGGGAGAAAATGTCATGTTATGATGAGAATGGGGAGAAAATGTCATGCTATGATGAGTCCTCGGATACAGTGGGGATGAAAAAAGCAGTCGCCCTACAAGACAGGGAACGAGATAACGACCGTTTGACTAAGGCAACAATGGCTGAGACGGACTTAGGGTTAAATATTGACTTTTCAGACGGGGATAAGGTCAGGTCGGAGAGCGTCGTTAAGGAGTTAACACAAAGGACAAACAAACAGGGGACACGTTATTTACTGGAATCTGAAACAGGGGAATTCGGCGTGGCGTATGACGGAGAGGAGTCTGACATAAGGGAATTTGGCGTGGCGTATGACGGAGAGGAGTCTGACATAAGGGAATTTGGCGTGGCGTATGACGGAGAGGAGTCTGACATAAGGGAATTTGGCGTGGCGTGTGATGGAGGGGAATCTGTTGGTCACTTGAGAAAACAGTGGCCAGCCGTCGGGACAGAAATAGAAGAAGAAAAGTCTTCTGATTCATTGGATGGTTTGATTGGTCCTCCTCCAGACTTTGGGAATACTCACACGGCTATTATTACCCTGAGCGTGATCCCCCTGGCGTCACCATTGCATCATGTCAACAGTTGGACCAATGGCGGCGCGTGTTCTGAGAGCCGGGCCGTGCATGACGGTATCGATCACGTGGGTGTGAGTCACGGCGGGGACAAAGAACCGCAACTGCAACAGCGCGGCTTAACGGTTGGTCTCACGGTGAGCGCAGAAAACACCAACACGGATGGCTTTATTGATTCCCGCCTCGCAGTTTGGGAAGGTGGGGAAATCCCTCTGCTAAACTCGCGTGACATCGCCGCTGTGGTGAATTTCCAGTGCGCTGATGAGACTAAAAATATCCACAAAGGCGGCTCGGCGCTCTCCGTTCCCGATGATACAATTGCACAGTGTTTTTCATCTGAGACACTTTCAAGGACAGAAAGTAGTTTAGACGCCAGTGACATCAGGGACAGCGGTCGTTCTGTACCCCGTGTTTGTGAAGACCCCACTCCGGTACTGTCAACTGAAAGCGGTGTCGTAGCAGCGGCTCGTGCCAGTGTCGCGTTCTGTGTTGATTCTAGTGATTCGTGCGTCGATGTCAAGGACACGTGTCACGGGAGGATTGGGCAACAGGGCAGCCATGGCCACCCGGTTCTCAGACCAGTTGGTGATGAATCAATAAAAGAACTCGGCGGTGCAAGCATCGGTGACGCAGTTATTTGTCAGGCAGAAGACAGCTCACTTGAGGCTGGTGTGGTGAGTGAAGACATTGTTTATGACTCTAGTGTATTGAACCATCAAGTTGAAACCAATCAGTGGGACAGCGGAGAGGGAAACGGCGCAGTGAGTGATTCTATATGTTTGGACTCTAAAGACGTTACATCAACAACTGTCAGTGATGGGTTTGTCGTCATCCCCGCCAGCACACGTGACCCTACACACCGGGCCGTGAACGCCAGTGACCCGCCTTTCTTGTCGGTAACCACGCTGACGCAAGAGACGGGCAGCGTTGTTGCCACCGCCAGTAGTGGTGACGCCACCCCGTGTCAGGCCGCACGCCGCTTCATTGCCTCGTCAGGTGTTTCACTTGATGGCGTGAAGACGGCGGCCAGTGACGGTACTGCACATTGCACTGATCCGGACTACACACGATCGGTACCGGCTCTACCCACTACGCGCGCTGGTTCTGTTACAACTTCACAGCCAGTCATGCAGCACAATAACCCGTTGGATAACTTACATGCCCAGTTATCGCTTATTTCTGCAGTGGACATAACAACGAATGAAGCCGCGGAGTCCTATCAGGACCACGCCGAGGCGACACACGTTGCCGGAGACGTTTATGAAGACAGCGGAGACTACTGTTACCTGTCCGAGCCTACTGAACACAGTGGGACCTACTACTCCTACAGTATTCAAGTCCACAGTGGGACCAAAGAGGACAGCGTCGAGGTCAGTCCCAGGGAACAGTACGACAACGAAGACGTGCCGACAACAACTGTACCAACGTACACGCCCCGCCGGCACCACCAATACTCTCTCCTCAAGCCGAAGTCGAGCAGTCTGTGGACGCTGGAGGAGGAAACCGAAAGTATGTTAGATGCGCAGTCACCAAAACCATCGCCGAAAAGATCGCTCCCTACAGTACCATCTGAAGAGGAGAACAGCGGCGATGAATGCAGTCCTCTAGAGGACGAAATCAGTCCTCTCGGCGATGAATGCAGTCCTCTAGATGACGAAAGCAGTCCTCTCGGCGATGAATGTAGTCCTCTCGGACAGTCACCGGATAGCCCTGAATCTTTATCAATCGACAACGGGTGCAATTCCAACATCGTCATTCAAGACAAACTTCTTGAACTCCACAGTGCAACATTCTATACGGATCCCAGACAAGCACACCAGGGTGATAAGTTCGTTCATACCAGGGATGAGATTCAACACGAGCACTTATCATTACCCATGGATATACCTTCTGTTCCCCTCCACGCAGCGGACGCGACCTGGTCAATTGGCCAGAGAATAGGGTATGATCAAACAACGCCCAGTTTGTGTGGGCCCATTCCAGTGGATAATTTCAGTAATGGTGGCACATCTCCCCTGGACGTCTTATCCAGCAGTCTCCAACAGTTCTGGAACCACGAGTCTGTCGGCGAGGAAGATGATTTATTTATTGTTGAGGATGAACGAGACCACAGCAGCAGCAGCCTCACCACGTCAAGACACACGAGACACGATGGTCCCCTGAGCTGGAACGATGACGAAGTGAGCGAGGCTTCTTCTCGCCTCCACGACTTTGACCAGGAACTCTCAGTGGTGTCCTCCAGCGTCAGCCCCTCACCGTCGGACGCCAGCGAGGGGTTGCTGTACACCTGCGTGGGCACTGCACAGGTCAAGCATGTACTGTCCTCGTTTGATTATGATAACCCGGTGAGTCGGGTGTGCACGGGACAAATTAATAGTGAGGAGGTAAGGGGGTCTTCATTTACCCAAGACGTTGACACGAACAAAATTAATGAGGAAGATGAGTTTGATAAAGACAATCAGTTTGATAAAGAAAATCAGATTGATAAAGAAGATGAGTTTGAGAAACTTTTGGAGGAATTCAACCAATGCACGTCAACACTTGCAGACATGGGAGAGGTAGTTTTTTGTGAGCTTCGAAAGGATGGTACCGCTCTGAAGCCAACACAACAGTTGGAGAACCTCTATAAGGCTTTCACCAACGAGGACAGTGAGAAGAAGCAGAACCACGTGTGCATCGTCATAGAAGACGACAACATGAGCACCTACAGGTTGAAGAGGTATTTGAAAAAATCGCACACGAAGAGGACAGCGGGGAAGAAAGTTCTCCGATTTCTCACGAGGCTCGGCTGTGTTTCAGAGACGACCTGCTCCCCTGAACTCAGTCCCAACAGATCGCAGCGATCCGAGCACGGCGAGCTGGTGTTCAGTGCAGACAACATGCCGTCACATCACACACGACTGCCGAGACCCACTGTGTTGAACTCCACCAGCTTCCAGAGCCTGCACTTACTGGCCAGGTCGGCCCACGGGCACAGCTCAACGACGTCCAGCAACCAGAGTTTGGACTCCTTGAAGTCCCGGGCGGACAGTGCTTACTCTAGCTTTTCAGAATCCATGTTGGGGGAGATGAGTCCCAGGAATCCTAGCAACGCTTTACTCTCCCCTGCCTGTCCGCTCTCCTCCACCGGCAGTGTCTTCCAGGACAGTCCTTTCAGTCCGAACCCTAGGTCACCTGACAGCGTTTACTCCAGTACATCTAGTGACAAAACGCATTATCCTAGCGGGCCGTCCAGGTCAGGCGAGACCAGTGCGCTGAACAATGAAATGATGACGGCCCTGTCAGATGTGTTTGAGCAGTTGGATGTATGCAATGATGAAATTGACACCGCCTTGCTGAATCGTTTGAGACATGGCCACACTAGAGCAGACATCTGACACACTAGAGCAGACACTTGACACACTAGAGCAGGCATCTGACACGATAGAGCAGACATCTGACACGATAGAGCAGACATCTGACACGATAGAGCAGACATCTGACACACTAGAGCAGACATCTGACACACTAGAGCAGACATCTGACACACTAGAGCAGATATCTGACACACTAGAGCAGACACTTGACACACTAGAGCAGACATCTGACACGATAGAGCAGACATCTGACACACTAGAGCAGACATCTGACACACTAGAGCAGAATTCAACAGCAAGTGATTTTTTTGTGTTTGTGAGCTAATTCAACTTATACAAGACGTCCCGGGGATTACCAACTTTTAAGTGTGAAAGACATCCACACGTCATGAGGCTGCTTGGCAAATCTCTTTAGTTAACACATAATGTAGCAACTGATCTATACTTTCAGATCAACAAGGGTGTCTCTTAATCTTATATGGACTACAGCTTGCTTCTGTATGGCATTGGCTTTTCAGTGTTGTTGTTATGGCATTTTTGAGATTTGTGTCATGAATGTAAAGGTACTTATCAATGAACCTGTATTGAAGTAAAGATTTTATTGTGTAACTTATAGCAGCATAGATACACATTATGTAACATAACATTCTATACCTCAGCTACCTAGACTAGAAATTTAAACAAAAAAAGAAATGTTCCTTCTAGTCTTTTTGCAAGTGTTTCTAAAACATGGAGTCACTTGGCTGACCCAGTTGTGCATGGAGTCACTTGGCTGACCCAGTTGTGCATGGAGTCACTTGGCTGACCCAGTTGTGCATGGAGTCACTTGGCTGACCCAGTTGTGCATGGAGTCACTTGGCTGACCCAATTGTGCATGGAGTCACTTGGCTGACCCAGTTGTGCATGGAGTCACTTGGCTGACCCAGTTGTGCATGGAGTCACTTGGCTGACCCAGTTGTGCTGTGGTCTTTGCAAGGAAATGGGAAACACACACACATTGTAACCATGAAAATGGCTTCTGGTCTTCAACAAGACCTGATGACAGATTTCATGCTTTTTGACTTAGGTTTAGAAAACGCTATGTAGTATTGAACCAATTCTTAAAGTAACGGGATAGTTTACTTAGGTTTAGAAAACGCTATGTAGTATTGAACCAATTCTTAAAGTAACGGGATAGTTTACTTAGGTTTAGAAAACGCTATGTAGTATTGAACCAATTCTTAAAGTAACGGGATAGATCTCTTGAAAACCTGTGGAGAACCATTTTGTTAGGTTGAACTGATGTCAAGTGTTCCAGACTCTGTCAGGTATTCCATTAACTAACATGAACCAGCTTGCTGTCATGCCGGCCATAGATAGATACCTTTATCCCAGTTTATCGAACCAACATTCTAGTGTAGTTTTATTACATCATAGTGCAAGATTTATTGCATCATAGTGCAAGATTTATTGCATCATAGTGCAAGATGTTTCTTGATAGCTGCCATCAAATATATTTGAAATGTACTTGCATGCATCAGATTGGGGGGGGGGGGATTCCTTTCATTTCTCTATCACAATTTGGCTAAATAAAGGTGTAAACCTCTAGCTGTCATATCAGAGACCCTTAACTATGGGGCCAAGTTTTGATTGAGACTTCTTTCTACTGTTGGATCCAATACTATTGGTTTGGGAATCTTTGTGTTGAAAGTGTAGTTAAAAGTTTATTTGTGTACATTAAAAAGAAGAGAATATTTGTGTAATCAACTCTAACATTTACCTCCTGCGTCATCTGGCCAATGAATGTCTTAATGACTGTAAGCAAACATGTCTGCCTGATGGACACTTGACATTGGAGCAGACATGTAACAGAGAGTTTGATACAAGTAACCCATGGTTACGTCAATAACTGAAGTTGACATGGTTACAACCTGGCCATGGGCGCCCGCAGAAAACTTTCTAGGGGGGGGGGGCAAAAAAATTGATTAACTTTCCAAGGGGGGACGACACCATTTTTTTAGTAAGGTTTGAATGTAGTTTGACTTGACTGTAGCGTATTTGTATGGTGAACGAACGGACAGGACATCAGCTTAGTTGCTTTCTCTTTATTCTTTATTTACTTTAATACATTGTTGTCTATTTTTGTCTAAAAAATTTGTATCCAATCAATCCGGGGGGGGGGGGGGGGGGAAGGGCCCAACCTTGCCCCTCCCTGCGGGCGCCCATGAACCTGGCTGTCAATAACTGAAGTTGACATGGTTACAACCTGGCTATCTTAAAAAAGCTATCCTCAACCATTTCACATTTGAAAGCAATGTTAATTGTGTTTGTTTATAATCTATTCAGTACTGTCTTAAGTGTTTTCTGCTGAAGCAGATTAAATACTATGGTCAAAATGGCAGGATTATTGTATAGGAGACATTTAATGAGAAACTTGTCAATATTCAATTGTGATTTGTTGCCTAAGTATTTACTGCAGTCAGCAGAAGGGAAGCATTAATATTGGTCACTCTTCTTGTACTTTCACTCTGGTAGATCAAGTAAGGGGGGGGGGTATTAATGTATTGTTGTTGTTGTTTCGAAGACGCTGTTTTTAAAAGCAAATCCATTTGTCTATGGTTGACAACTAAAACAGTAAGAGTGTGCTCGAACATAAAGTTGTCCTTCATAAGGTTGAAAGCAGTAGCTACAAAGTAGGGTTATAATTTAATGGAAGGGTCCTTACCATAACCCATACCCCCAAACCACCTTTTTACACACACAAGCACATTGTTCAAATCTATTGGACTGGATAAATCCTGAGTATGTGACTATGATTTTATCATTGAAACAATTTTAGTTTGAGATTACCCTATAAGCAACCAACAATTATTACCGGTATTTTTTAAAAATTTTTTTTAATTCTGCTGTTGATCAAATTAAATCTGAAGTTCTCTTGAGTGCTGCACCGGCATTAAATGTCACTGCTTGTATTAGTTTCACTTGCCAGTTTGGCACCTTTGTGCACTTGAGCTGATCCACTTGATATTTATTGATGACATGTGTGTTCACCTGTTATAGGTGGGTGCCGCTTACAGTTTGTGAAAATGACACGGGGCAAAAAGAGCAGAATTATGTGATGGACCGGAAGAGCCTTTGAATGTCCACACAGTGTTCTGACATGGTCGTGGAGAGATTCCATTAATCAAAAGAGTCTCGGACAATGGATAGAATAAACCTAGACAGTGACCTCGGAACTGCCAAGAGATATTGAATCAATGTACCTGAGATATGAATCCATCTACTTTAAATCTATGTTCTTGATTGTGTTTGTTTGATGATCACTCACTTGAAGCATACATCTGCAACCCTAGCACACCCTCAGTTCTTGTTAGTGCTTGAATTTAACAAATCAGCCCTTGTCCAAGCTCTAAACATACAGAGGACTTATTTAATAACACGTTTTACAACAAGGCAAAACATTCCTGGCATGTATGTTGACATGTATTGACTTCTCCTTGCCTTCAATTACAAGAAACCACATGTTTTTGTTTTTTTAACTCTCTTTTCATTCGTTATCAAATGTAAAACTGGATTTTTGTTGACTGTGAAAGCACACAGCTTGGATCATGATGAATAAAACTTCTGACACTGAAGACTTCTTCACTTCCTTTATTTGTATTACATATTAAAACATTGATTATATTGAGCCCTTTGTTGTGTCAAAGCATTAATGTTATTACTGTGCAGTGGGAATGCATATAATATTCATAAATATATAACTATATGATTTTAGTATTATACATACTATATCCACTGGAGTAGCCAAGGTTTGTGGCATCAGGGGCAAGCCTCATGAAAAACTCGGTAGTTGGGAGAAAAATGCCACCCCTCTGTATGTAGAAAAATTAATGTGCTACCCAAGGCGGAACCCCCCCCCCCAACCCCTGTTCATACATCTGTGTCTAATTATAAGTGCATCTTTGTTAAGGATTAGAGAGAATATCTCCCATACCTTACGTTAAAATAAGATTGTTGCAATACATAATAAATAAATTACAACTAAAATTTTAACAAATTAAAATATGTCCCATGGGTTGATCCACCATCAGAACAGCTGACATAATTATCCAATCAATACTTGGCCAATCTAGTAGGATGCACACTAATGGCGTGTGTATAAAATACCACAGTTAAGAACCAGTGGCATGATGAGAACTTTTATAACCCAGTGCAATAGCTCTGGGTCTCACCATTTCCATACAAGCTTTCTCATCCTGTAACCAGACCATAATGATGCTAGAATGATAACCATTTTTTTAAATTGAGAGTTGACTTAGTGTCGGCCTCTCTGATAGTGTCACTGGGTTGAGGTTTCATACCGACCTAGCGACGCCACTGTCAAGAGCCTCCAGTTGGTTGATTCAACTGCAAAGGGGTGTTCAATAAAAAATTATTACAAAACCAAACGATAAGTGCATTCGCACAAAAATTCGCACAAAAACAGTCAAAACCAAATAAAGTATTAAATATTGTTAACTAATTATAATGAACTACTTATAAGAGCGTTGGGCTGTACTAAAGCTTTCAAGTAGATCAATGACGCACAAACAATTTGTTGTCAATGAAACCATAAGGGTTAAGCTTTCATTATAGTTATATAGAACACAAAATCATATGTTTCAGTATCCTGAATGTCCATTTTGATGACATCACGCAATATACATATATGAAACAAAAAATATGACTGAGCCCTGAATGTCCATCTGATGTTTAAAATACCTGATTCAAGCAGCCCAGAAAAGTTTGACTTCTTTGTGGCACATCTGTGGACCATTGCTTATCAACTTGGGAACCCCTTCACTGGAGCATTTACTAAAACAAACTTTTGCATTATCTGTTTTAATTTTAGCAGCAAGCTGTTACACAATAAAACTGTCAAATTGATCACATGGTAAATCATGAAAATTGGTTGTACACATTCCTGTAATTATATTAGTAAATTGGGAGGGTCATTTTTAGCTCATTAAGGCTAATAAGTATATGGAATAATAAGTCATTTAAGTATATATTTCGTAATACATCATATAAGTACATATTTAGTAATATTGCATTTAAGTACATATTTAGTACCGGTAAAAATTAATTGTGGATGAAACATTTTAAAATTCGTCTAAAAACTAATACTTAAATGACAAAACAATCATAACATATCCTAATGTAACAACACCCATTAATGAGAACACATAGTAAATACCCTACTGTAAAAAAAACAGTCATGAGAACACATAGTAAATACCCTACTGTAAAAAAAAAAACAGTCATGAGAACACATAGTAAATACCCTACTGTAAAAAAAACAGTCATGAGAACACATAGTAAATACCCTACTGTAAAAAAATGTAAAATACCCTAATGTAAAAAAAACAGTCATGAAAACACATAGTAAATACCCTACTGTAAAAAAAAAAACAGTCATGAGAACACATAGTAAATACCCTACTGTAAAAAAAACAGTCATGAGAACACATAGTAAATACCCTACTGTAAAAAAATGTTCATGAGAACACATAGTAAATACCCTACTGTAGGAACACCCCACCCATTCATGAGAACACATAGTAAATACCCTAATGTAAAAAAAAAACAGTCATGAGAACACATAGTAAATACCCTACTGTAAAAAAACAGTCATGAGAACACATAGTAAATACCCTACTGTAAAAAAATAATAATGAGAACACATAGTAAATACCCTACTGTAAGAACACCCCACCCATTCATGAGAACACATATTAAATACCCTACTGTAAGAACACCCCACACATTCATGAGAACACATAGTAAATACCCTACTGTAA